GTCAGTCAAGTAAAGAGTTGTATTGAGCACAGCAAAATAGGTATGAGCAGGGTAATTGAGGCAAAATCAGTTACTAAAATAGAATCACAGCTATATAGCAAAAGATCATGTCAAGCTAGAACCAAATCATCAACTGAATTCCTTGAATAAACCAGTGAAAAAAATTGCATGGTTTTTACAGGTCAAGCTACTAACTATAACAATGGGTATTTTTTTCTCTTTAAGCCCATTGATTTCTGCTCTCAAATGAATATTAGCTCAATCTCCTAAACTTCCTTGGTTTCCTAAGGCTAAGGGAAGGGATTTTTTTTAAGGGCAGATCATCTTCATGAGATGATACATTGCACTGTAGCCCTGGAACTGGTACAGGAAAACTGGCGAGGTTATAGGGTCAAGTATGCGCTTGGGACTTTTAACTCCACTTAAATTCACAGAAGAGACTCCTCACATGGACAGTTCTGTAATCAGTAGAAACTGGGAAGAATGTTGGGCAGGCAAAGACAGATATCTGCTATAGAGAAGAAGGAAATGATTATTACATAGACTAATTGTTAACATTTTATGGAACTTCAGTCATGATGTCCAGCTGAACAGGTTGCATTTTTCCAGCAAAATGTAATTGTCCCTCCTCCTCACCTGCAACTTCACCTTTCATAATTGAAATTATTCACAGTAATCCTTGGTCAGAAAATATTAAAGTGAAAGCACCAGAAATAAACAATTCATAAGTTTTAAATTATGTGCTATTCTAGAAATTTCACAAAATCTTGTGTCATATCACTCCATTCTGTCCTACTTGGAATGTAAATCATCCTTTTGTCCATTGTATCCATGCTGTATGTGCTACCTTTCCATTAGCTATGTAGTAGTCATTTCAGTTATCAAATAAAAAGAAGAAAGTATAGACTACAGTATTCTTGTACTGTACTACAAATAGGATTCAATACTGCATATAGGGTCTCAGGCATTCCCTGGGAGCACTAGAAATGTATCCCTGTAGAAAAAAGGACAACTGTAAGTTTTAACAGTGAAATATTTTTTGTTGTTCTTATCAGGAATCAAACTTAAGACCTTGTGCTTGCCAGGCAGGTGCTGTGCCACTGAGCTATTCCCTCAGCTGAAAGAGGACAATTGAAGTACAATTTGAGTAAAGAGCTGTAGGCTCCTTTGTCTAGTGGCCTTCTCTGGTTCTGCCTCCACATCTCAGACTTTCATCCAAAAAAGTGGCAATGATTTGATGCACTGGAGTCCTCCAGCTGTTATGGGGATGGTGATGGTTGCCAATAGCAAATGAATAAAACAGTCTAAATATGATTTTATAGCTCTTAATGCTTTTCCATAATGTGATGCACATTAACAAAAGCACAGTAAAAAAGAAAATTTCACACTATTATTCCAAATGTCATTTAAATCTCATTAAGTAGATCTTTGTGAAATGATGACATGGCATGATGATTTTTTTTTTTAATCTACCTATATTTTAGCTATAACAAGGGCCCTGGGAAAATACTAGCATTTGGCTGGTAGGCGTTAGTAGGAACTGTGAGGCATCACAAGAAGTCAGCTGGGGTCTGGTTAAGATTTGAGACATGGATGACTAGCAACCCAACTCAGCTTGGCAAGGATAATCAACTTTGGTGGTTGTTAATTATACCAAGTAATTTTGTTTGTTTTGTCCCTGATAGGTAAGGAAGAAATTATTTTGCCCTTAAATTGAGATATGAAGTTGGCCAGCAGTCTTTCTCTGCCTTCACATAACTCATAATACATTATTTATGCTTTATATATTTATGTGCTACAATACTGGGTGCCTATATATTTATAATATTCACATCCTCTCAATGAATTGACTTCTTAAAAAAATTTATGTATTTGGTACAGGGTCTCACTATGCAGCTTGGGCTCTGTAGTGATCCTCCTGTTTGCAGCCTGCCTAGTTCTGGGATTACAAACATGCACCACCACGCCGCAACATGGTTGCTGGCTCAGCACATCTGGGGGCAGTGCTGGGGATCAAACCATGGTGCTCTGCACTTGCTTAAGCAGTGCTTAGTCCTCTGATCTGTCTTGCAGACCCTGAATTGACTTTCTTTTTGCCATTTTATCTTACCTCCTTTTCTATAGTTTTTAACCTAATGTTGATCTGATCAATAATAACTACTTTTGTTCTCTTTTGGCTTCCATTTGTGCAAGTTGAGGATCTCTTTCCATCCCTTTACTTAAGATTAAATGAGCAGGGTGGTAGCTCAGCAGCATAAGCATCTGCCTGAAGCACAGGATCCTGAGTTTGATCCCTGGCACACACAAAAAAAGATGAAATAAGGCTTCCAGTAAATAGCATGTAATCGGGCCTGATGGTGGAAGATAGAACAATGTGAGAAACACTTTGGCAAGCAGAACAGTAGCTGAGTGTGGAGAGAGGTGCCCCAAGGAGCCTCTGCTATGGCTGTGATTTGGCCTTTTCTCATTTATTGCCATTCACTCATTGTAGTTTTTGATTTCAATTTACTCTGAAAAGTCAACTAAAAGTGACAGGCTTACCTATTTAAAACCATACAAAGAAGTCAATCAATTTATCTGAGTGACTGATATAGCTGGTTTCTGGTTAAAATTTGATTATTCATGTTTGTGTATTAAGATTTCAGTTCACTATCCATATTGCTCTGATAGAAAGAAAAATAGTTATCTGGAAAGCCTTTTAGAGAAAATCCTCCTGCCTTGCCTTCTCCCCATCCCACTGTCTGACCAGAGTTTTTAATTCTACAAGGAGCTTTCTAAGAGTTTCCTTAACTGTCCATTTCTACCCCATTTTTCATCCTTCCCAGTCTCAGGGTCCCAAGAGTGTGTAACTTCTTCTGGGGTGTCTGCTTATTCAGAGGTTCACATCCTCCTGTCTATTGAGCTGTAAGACCCCTATCTTCTAGGTCCTCTTCATTTACTCTTTATGGCCTGTCTTTCTTGGACTCTGTTGCCTAACATTTCATTTTGATCATAGCAAAAGTAACAGCCAAAAAGAAAACGACATAGTACTATTGAAACACAAATAGACAGTACATAATTTTGTACTTCCCTCTAAGACTTGCTGAGTCATAATTAAGTTTAGAGCTTGTCAAAAATGATTTCCCCATTACTACCCACAGTATCACATTGAAGTAAAAAGCAAATTTAAAGATGAAAATATTGCAAGACATTTGGGCTCACCATACTTTCTACACTTTGTAAATAGAATGAGCATTTCCTGCTTATTTTGAAATGCTCCTGTGGCTATCAAAGGGGAAACTTTCACATAAGGACTCTTGACTAAATAGAACCTAGGAGCTATTCATTGATTGTCCTTTGTGCTTTCTGAAAGGAAAGTCCACATTTGTCAAAGCAGCACAGTGCTGTTTTGAGCAACTCTTGTGGATTTCAGAAACTGTCATCCTGAGAGAAATGTTCTCCAAAGCTTTTCCGGCTTATTGCTCCAGACATTTCTGAACCACCTATATATGGCAGGAATGAATATAGAATGTTAGGCCTGAGACAGTTAAAAGTATTTAAAAAACACTCACATTAGAGACAAAACTCAAATTTAGATTGTCAGTCCCTGCAGTGACAGAGATTTAGGAGATGCCAGGAAAAGTAGGCACTTGGGGACAGGAATGACCAAAGGTTCTGGCACCTTGAATTTATTAACAAATTTCGATCTAGGGTCAACCACATAAGAAAGGCAGAGCTGTAGCTTTTGCTCTTCCCTTTGGCCTGTTTTCCTAACATACACCAAATGGCTCTGTCCTATCAAACATTACAGACACTGTATAGACAATGAGTTTCAGCAAAGACATACAATCTCAGGTGCTTGGCCAGTGTTAGTACAGATCATTTTTGTGCAGTGGCCTTGAGAAGAACCTGTGCTCTCCATTGTTGGCTGTGGAGGAAAATAAACATCAGAGAAAATAGAAACAGAGTGACCTGACAAGGCCACAAACCAGCAGCAGAGGAAGCCATGGTAGAGATTGCTATGATAGGCTGTTTAACTTTGTTTGGAGAAACTGGACTTTAGACAGATGAACTTCTTTTCCCTTAGATTCTTGTTTATCTAACGGAGTTGTGGTTGAGAAGCGATCCAGGATTCACAAGGTCAGAGGAGTACTGCTTCCCACACAGTGGACTCCACCCATCTCGCTCCAAGGCTTCCCCTGGCAGGTGGTGTGGAGGGCTGTGGGTACGCCCACCCCGCAAATGTTCACCCAGAGGACATATCAACCTCTTGGGCTTGGCCCTCTTGATTTCACAGCCTCGGGAAACTCAGAGCTCAGTTTCCTTTCCCATGCTGTATTCTGAGCTTGGAATCATTCCAGTGTGCTCAGTGATCATCTTGTTAAAATGCCTTGGGAATTTAGACCATCGGTGAAATTTAGACAATACTAATGTATCCAATTTTAATTCCTTTCTTTCTTCATGAGAAAATAGATTTTCATCAGTTACCCAAATGCAGTCCTCCATTAAAGTACTGTTGAGTATTCTTATCCTTTTTTTTTTTGTTTTTGTTTTTTTGTTTTTTTCCGGAACCAGGGATTGAACTCAGGCCCTTGCGCTTGCCAGGGAAGCACTTATTCCACTGAGCCATCTCCCCAGCCCCTCTTATCCTTATTTTTGAAACTTAAAGAAAATCTATTAAAAAGAGGTTTTATAAAGAAGTCTTCCCTCCTCCGTAGTCCCCTGGTTCTCTGTATATAAATAGGACATGTTTTCCTGCCTGAAACCCAGCCCTTGAGTTCTGTCTTCTATGTTCTTGTTTTTAATCCCCTTACTTATGGATCTACAGCAAAGATAACCTCAGTGGATGTGAAGCAGGTTCTTTTGTGTTGCCTTTCTACACTTGTCTCTGGGTAGGCCAGCTCACAGACTTAACTGGAACGACTCTGCCTTGCTCACAGGCGTCTCTTTGATTAAGGGACAAAAGTGAAAAAAGATGGATGTATAACTCACAATTTCTCTTTTTTTTTTGTATTTTTCAGAAATTGAGGCGAAAGAAGCATGTGACTGGCTCCGTGCCGCTGGGTTCCCGCAGTACGCCCAGTTGTATGAGGGTATGTCACCTTCTCTGTGCTCTTTATAAGAAGAATACTCTGAAAACAGATTACACTGGCGTGCCGGTCTTTTCTCTATGACTTCTTGATTCCTTTTCTGCTCAGCATTTGCAGTACCAAGGGCTTCTTCTGATTCCACTTTGGAAATGACCATCGCTTCCCAAGGCCGCTTTGCCTTGTGCTCGCCACCTCAGATTCTCTTCCGGCTTCACCAGTGTTCCCTCATCAGCAACTTTGCACCATTTTGTTCTGTAATTTTCCCTCACTGCTGTTTTCTTTAGTTAGTAAATTTCTTGGAAGTACCAAAACTACTTGCTTTACAATTTCTAATATTTATGTTCACTTTATATAAAAAGTGTTAAGGTATGTAATATGAGTGAGATGCAATTCTTGTGAATTTTTGCTGAGGTACTTTTATTGTTAGTATTATACTTCTTATCATTGATTATTTGGCTGTTAATAAATGCACTCTCTTGTATCTTAATTATATCTAAAATTATAACCAAAAATTTCAGCTCCTTCTTGGATCAACCCTGTGTACAGTGAATTACAATGGTGGCAGAAAGCAAATGGTTCACTGACAGAGGATTATTGCTAGTAGTGGCCATGGCAAACATGTGGACAGGAATGGAGTCAACAAGGAACAGTGCACAGTACAGGAGCCCAGGGACTGTAAAAGAGAGCTGTTACTAATATTGGTCCAAAGGGATAGGCAGAAGGGGAAGGAGCTGGTTCCAGCTTTGAGGTGCTATTGAGCAGACCTTCCCATGTAGGGAGCACACAACTGACCATGGGCAGCCTCTCATGGACAGACCTGGGGGATAAATACCCTGACCCCAGACTCTGCCTTGCATCACCAGCCAGGGTTTCTCATGGATGAAATAAAAGGAAACCAGAGGGCACAGGTCTCCTTGGTTGCCATCTGTGTCTAGAGGTGACTCTTGAGGCACAAAGCAGAGTGCAAAGCAGGAAGAGTGGGTCTGCAGGGCAAAATAGAGGCTACCTAGCACCAGAAACTGATTATCTTCCTGATGGCATGTGTAGGATGTAAATAAGCCTTGACTTACATAAAGGTGACTTCCATCCCTTCATCTAGAAATTTTATATTAAAATTTTTTATACTAAACTTTTTTTCTGCTTTTATAAAAATGTTTTCTACTTCTTGCACTTAAATTCTATGAGGATAAAGGAGAGTTTATCTTGCTTTGGGTGTTGAATTTTGGGATTTCTGATAAAAGTTTTCATAGAATCATAGACTTTTAGACAAGGAGGAATTTTATAGTTCAGGGCTAAGAAATTCTCCCCTACTCCTATTCTCCACCAGCAACTCTCTGATTAGCAAGAAGAAGCCTGAAAAGTTACATGACTTTTCCAGAGTGGAAGAATCAGAACTAACATCTCAGTCTCTTGGCTGTTATCGAAGATATTTTCTATGGCTACACTTGCTTTACAAATTCAAAATACTATGAGATTAGATGTGAAAAGAGGGTCGGCCAGATAGCTCAGTGGACTAAAGCACCTACTTAGGCAGAGTGCTTAGGCAGAGTGCAGTGGCTGGGGTTTGATCCCTGGCGTGGCATGGCGTGCCTTGCCAGCCCTGCCCCAGGGGCACACTGAGATGGCTATTGAGACTGGGCATGGTGGCCAGTTATCCCAGTGCTTGGGAGGCTGAATATAAAAGGATCACTACGAGTCCGATCTGTGTGTAGTAAGACCCCGTAGACCCTATACTAAATGCATTTTTAAAATAATAATTATAATAATAATAAAATTCTGTTAAAAATGTGGAAAGACATAAAAGTCTAAGAGGTAAAGATAATTTATAACTCATATATGTCTATAAAACTGTGCTCAAGCCATTCAAATTAAATAAATGTAGAAAGAATAAGAACAAACACTTCTACACTGTATGCCAGGTACTATTCAAGGCACCTATACTATCCACTTAATATTCACCAACCATCTTACCATGGGTATGATAATTATCATTCCCATTTTACTTATGAGAAAACAGAGGCCAAAGGAGATTAAGTGACTTGCCTGCTGTCCCACAACTAATAGGTAATCAGGACATAAGAGTATCTGAGTTTCACAGTCTACATTAGCTTCTCTTTCCAACTCACGCTGAGATTTAGATACCCTTAGATGTATCATGAATGGCAAAGTGGAGGCAGAACAAAATATGAAATGAGAAAGAGAAAACAAAGACAGGACAAAGATAATGAAATAGCACTGTGAAATTTGACTATGGTCTTTATGCTTATAACCTCAGATTTTTACCTATGTAAATGAGGTACCTAAAATTAATACCCTGTTCTAATATTGGCTGATGACTTCTCCAGCTGGCTTAAATAGTTTGTTAAAGAAAAGTCATAGTGCTGGAATTTCTTCTCTTTGCATAGAATCAGTTGAAGATTTTGCTGACACTTTGAAGTGACTCAACCTTTAGCTACAAGAGAAAACACTGAGATCATTGAACTTTGGGTATTTTTGTAAATGTCCTTTCTGAAGAAAGATAGTCAACCAGACTCTTCTATGAAATCATGTGGATAAAATTCACTGACCTACACATTAGGTAGATGGTAAGAGTATAAAAACTCTTCAAATCCAGCCTTTCTTAGTAATGAGGATGAGCTATAAATATGCAAGCACTTAGTATTAAATACAAGGTCAAGTACTTGATTACCTCATATTTCACATTTAAATTATATTCTCAAAAGCATTTACTGTGATAAAAATAGAACAGTCTGCTATTTTAAATACCTCCAACAATGGAAATGAGCGATGGGTATTAAAATCAGTGGCTTGTACAGACCTTGGTGGTCTGGATATGTTGGAACTCATTCAGCTAAAACACTACATAAACCTATTGGTCTCGCCTTTTCTCTTTCTCAGATTCACAATTCCCCATTAACATTGTGGCTGTCAAGAATGATCATGATTTTCTTGAAAAGGACCTTGTAGAACCTCTTTACAGGTAAATTATGTGAAGTATTTTCATTTCATTGGTCAATTTGCAGGAAGTATCAGTAAATCAAGAGGCATGTTTAACAGTTCAGTAAATATTGATTGTGAGTCTATTAAGTCCAAACACAGGTCCAAGTTCTAAGAATACTATAGTGAGTGTGATCACTTTGTGTTTTTGTGGAATTTAAATCCTAATAGAAGGCTTCAAGTAATAGATTAAGAAAAAGACAGAAAGAGGAAAGCATTGGTTAGAAGAAGAGTAAAAGAAAGCATGTGACTATTTCCTAATGTGTTATATGCTATTTTAAAAATTATAGCAGAATGAGATTGGAGAACATAGATGAGTTAGTGGGAGGAGACCCCATGGGCAGCCGTACACTTGTGGTCGGGGACACACTAAGACTTCAATGAATATGTCAAATGTGACTTTTTTGCAAAATCAAGTGATGATACCCTCAAACTAGAATATGTTAGGCTAAGTAATTGCAGCAGCAAACTTGAATATTTAAACTTCTGCTGCGTGATAGATGCTATAAGGAGAAGAGACATATATATGAATAATTTCCTCCCCTTAAACCTTACTACCTAGTTAGAAAAAGACTAGTTGAAGAAATGAGAAACAAAAATATGAACAACTAATAATTAAACTTGGGTTAAGACTAAAAGATTCAATGAACTCTATGTCCCTGAACAACTGAATTCTGTCTGAGAGGTGACATGTATCTGTACAAAAGTGAAATTTCATGATCAAAGCTGTGGAAAGATCTCAGAGCTGAGGATGAGTATTAGTTACAGGATGTAAGTCACTTTACCTAGACTGTACAGTTTGTTATGAGCCAGAAAGACCTCAAAAGTCTAGTACTAGTGACCCTCAGTCCAGTATTCTTCTTAGTATATTCTGTATCTCACATAAAAAACAGTGATGTAAGGGGAAGTGATAGCAAGATTTTTGTCAATGTAAAACACAATGTATGGTAGAATAGTGTGTGAATCACCTTTAGCTTTGGTGTGCTGTGTCTGTATTTTTGTGTTCTCAAACCAGTTACTCCGTGGTTCTTGCACAAGGAGAAAATAGACTTGTGTTAAGGAATGATCTCTGAGCTGGGGAGATAGCTCAGTAGAATAAGCACTTGCCTGTCAAGTGCAAAGTCCTGAGTTCAATCCCCAGTACTGCAAAAAAAAAAAAAAAGAAAAGAAAAGAAAAAAGAAAAAGAAATGATCTCTGAGTGTTCAAGAAAGCAATAGTGTGAGTTTGCTTAAATTTAATACAACAATCCTGTGGAGTAAGAGAGCAAAAAAAACCCTCTTCAAATCCTACATTTGAGCAGGAACAGGCTGTTCGAGCCAGAATAGAAAACAAGCACAAAGGGACATTTTTAAGAGTTTATGAGATGAATGGATAATTTGGTTATGATTCTTGAGACACAATAAATTGAAAAAGCATTGTTTCCTCTTCTCTGTGTCAAAATCTGCAGAAGCAGATTCCTTCCCAGGACCACTCATTGCATTCTGTGCAACCCAACCAGCACTCCATCCTGACTTCTACCTGTTAGCTAAGTTTCTTTTTGCTGGCTTGAATTTTTCAAAATAAATATTTATACTATATA